ACACGCTGTGGTACACGGGGTAACTGCTGTAGCGCTCGGTTTTCTTATGAAAGAGGGTGGAAAACAGTTGTTAGCTAAATTTAAAAGCTTTGTAATGTCTTTTTTTGTATGCGTAGATGCAAGTCTAAATTACTCAAACACACTCACTCGGTTTTTGGTGTATCTCGCCCTTCCAGATGCAATGCCTAATCTGATGAAATACGCTTCAAAATCACTACCAGAGCCCAGTTTACTGATCCTACAGGGAGATCAAACACACACACACACACGTTTCTTAGCCATGTCATGTATCTGTAATCAGTCAGTTCTTATAGATGATTATGATCGTCATCATCCCGAAGCTGCTCTTCATTACCATGGTGCATTTCTTTCTGTGGAGTTGTCTCGTTTATGCCAGCTCTGATACAAACTCATGCCCTCCTCTCCCTCCTCTGGACTCCAAACCTTCAGAAACACACTATTAACATCACTTGCATTCATATAGTGGGATGGATGGATGGATAGAATCTCACCTTTTTGGTGATGTCATAAACCAGAGTGTGAAGAGAGGGAGTGCAGTCGACTCTCAGTGTGTACATACCTGCACACACACACACACACACACACACACACACATAGTATCTAAACAAGAGACCTGAATACTTACAGATGAGATCAATGCTGCTTTTACAGCACAGAGATACTCATAATGGTCTGTGTGTGTGTGTGTGTGAGAGAGACTGACCCTCAATAGCAGAGTCTGCATTGATGTAAGCCACGGCTCGCTCCTGTAGGACTCTAGCATTATCCTGCAAACACACACGGGCAACAACATGCTGAGATACTGATTACGGATATTCATTCATTCATTCAGTCAATCAATGAAACAGTCATTCATTTATTTAATGAGTCTTTTGTTAAATATGCATTTTTTTTTGCATTCAGCTGTTCATTAATTTAGAGGTTAATTCATTTGTTTATTTATCAGTCATTAATTTGTTCGTTCAGACAAGCATTTATTCATTTGTTCTTTTATGCATTCATTCAGTTGTTCATTCATGCATTTTTTAGTTATTTATTTAATGAATCATTGATTCATGCATTTTTGTCATTAATTCAATCAAAGATTCATTCATTCTTTATTTATCGGTCATTCATTTGTTCATTCAGTCATGCATTTATTCATTGATGCATTCATTCTGCCGTTCATTCATGTTTTTTTTAATTCAACTTTCATGCATTTTTTTTAATTAATTCAAATTATTCCTTTATTAATGCATTTTTATTTCATTCAGTTAATGAATCATTCATCCATTCATGCATTTTTTCACTAATTCAATTAATGGTTCATTGGTTCATTCCATCAATCAAACAATCAGTGAATCATTCTGTTCATTCAGTGATTCATTGATTCTTTTGTTCATTCAACTGTTCATTCATTTTTTTTAATTCAGTGTCCATTTAATTTGTTAATTCATCTGTAATTTGTTAATTCCCTCAAGCATTCATTCATTTGTTCACTGATTCAGTGGTTCATTCATTCATGTGTTTTTTTCATTCATTCAATCAATGATTCACTGATTCCTTCCTTCATTTATTTTCTGTGCATGCATTCAATCAGTCGTTAATTCATTGATTCATTAATGCAGTCAATCATTTATTTGATTGCATTACTTCTTTCATTCATTCATTAGTACCTCTGCCCATTCTGTGGATCCCAGCAGGCCAAACTCTTCTGCGTCCCAACTGGCAAAGATCAGCGTTCTCCTCGGCCTCCAACCTAAAACACACACAGAGTATGATCATCTTAATTAAAAACAAGACTAAGACTATCAAAACACCTGTACAGTTACGCATTAAACTAGACGACACACACCTTTCTTCATGAGTTTTCCAGCTGCTCTCACGCTCTCGTGCACCACAGCAGCTCCTGACACCGGATCGATGCCTCCGAACACCCAAGCATCACGATGACCGCCCAGAATCACGTACCTGTCTGAACACAAAACCAAACTCGACTAGACAGAATAAAACAAAACTTCACAAACTCTCAAACAGTGTGAACACAACTCCAAAATAAAACCAGATAAGCAGATGTCACCTGGCTCCACCGCTCCTCTGATCCAGCCAATCACGTTGTAGATACGGGTCACCTGATTGTTTGTGTGGATGTTCATACGCACTTTACTAAAATTTCACCAAGACAAAATTCAATAAGGAATCAGTACTTTCTAGTCTTTTACTTTACACTGCATGCATACATGGATAAAAGCATCTGCCAAATGCATAAATGTAAAGACAGCCAGTTAAGTGTGTGTGTGTGTGTGTGTGTATGTATGTATGTGTGTGTGTGTGTGTGTGTGTGTGTGTGTGTGTGTGTGTGAGAGAGAGAGAGAGAGAGATGGGCTCCCCAAACAAAAGGACTTTGTATCAAACTGGCCGACCTCCAGAGTTCATTACAGAACAACAACAGAGCCACAGAAGTGTGTGTGTGTGTGTGTGCTGTGGGAAACAAATGTGTCATCCCTCTTTGAGAACGCTGAGTGCACAAACCTCCCAGTCCTGCAGACATCACGCATAAAAATGAATTAACCATTAGCAGGAGTGCACGAATATGTGAGTTTAAGCTGATTATGATTGTTCACACTTCATAACAGCAGGATCATAGGTTTTGAGGTTAAAGGTCAGATTGAGGTTTTGACTTTGGTTTGGAATAGATAACTGTCTGACTGACTGAACATGAAATCGCTGTTTACATCTTTAACAAACATCCCTGATCTGACTGTGCATGATTCATCAGAGCACATCATTCAGCAGAGAAGGATTTTGTAATGTTTCATTGAAATGTAATAACATTTCTAATCATATCCCACATTTAATAATGCAATCATGTCATTTTACCACTAAATATTCTACTTAGAAATCTGTCATATTAGAAATCAAATGCATTGCAAGGCAAGACACCACAGGTGAAGATTTAGACTAATATCGTCGTATTCCACCATATACACCATATTTCTGACATGTTATGATTAAATATGTTAATGAGGCATGATTTAATTAAATATGCAATATTTGAATCAGTTTCCAGAATAGAACATTGGATAAAACCAGGTTTGACATTTTTGCAGAGGATTTCTTTTTTTATCACTCTATGCATGTAATATTTCTGACTCAGCCTTTACAGATATGTATTGTATTTTAAATCTACAGACGCAAACAGATAAAGTGCATTAAAATAAACACTTAAATGTGTATTTGCTCTCCACTAGTCTGAAAGAAGACTTGTTGTGGAAGCAAAAATGACCAGTGCATGCCTGCAGTGTCTTGCCTTAAAAGATCAAATGGAGCTTTTATTATGGATTTGCCAAAAGTAT